TTGTGCGTGCGGTGCACCGCGCTCGTCGCGGCGTCTCGCAGCTCGTACGCGCGCTCCCAGCACGCGGATTCGAAGCACGCCGCGGCGGCGCCCGCGGCGATCTCGTTTCGATCCGCCGCCGCCAGCACGTCGGCGAACGCGTACTCCTCCCGTCGCGCGTCCGGGGCGTCGTCCGTCTCGAGGTCGCGCGCGGCGGCGGCGGCGTCCGCGGCGGCGGCGAGCGACGCGGCGGCGGCGGATGCGGCGGCGCGCGTGGGGTCCGCGTTCTCGTCGGGGGAGCGGTCGCCGCAGACGCGCCGCGGACGCGGGCGGCGCCGCCGACTTGGGGCCGCCGCCGCCGCCGCCGCCGCCGCCGTCGGCGAACCCGCCGAAGGCTGTCGGCGCGCGCGCGGTCGCGGGCGCGACTGTTGGATCGTTCGTTCGTTCGATCGATCGTCAATGGATGGACGGAGGGATGGAGCGCGATGGGTCAGCGCGCGCGCGTCGATCGATGCGATATCGCGGCGGCGGAGGGGAGGGGAAGAGAGCGATGTCTTACGATCGGACGAGCGACGACGACGATGAATGAAATGAAAGAGGCGAACGACGGAGGCGGCGCGGGTCGAGATCCGCGCGGTCGCGCACCGGGTTCGCGCGCGCGTCGCAGGAACACCTCCGTGCCGAACGCCTTGGCGTCGTCCCCGCGCTCGAGATGCGCGTGCATCGGCGTCGCGGGCGTGCCCGGGACGGCGAAACGCGCCGCGCGAGCGCGGGGACGACGCCAAGGCGTTCGGCACGGAGGTGTTCCTGCGACGCGCGCGCGAACCCGGTGCGCGACCGCGCGGATCTCGACCCGCGCCGCCTCCGTCGTTCGCCTCTTTCATTTCATTCATGGCGCGCGAGTCGAGCCGGCGGGGCGCGCGCGATCGACTCCGAGGCGCGGCGCGTTATGGCCTGGCGGGCGGGCGGGATGGAGTTTGAAAAAGATCTGGCCGCGGCGCGGCGGGAGAAACGCGCCAAGAAGAACAGAATGTCGGCCCGATCGCTGAGAACGAGACGCGCGGGCGCGATGCCCGGCGGCGACGCGTCGTCGCTGCACTACCAGACCGTGGTCGCCGCCGCGGCGAAGGACGCGGCGGGCCCCGCGGGCGTCGCGGAGGGGTTCTTCGACCTCGCGAACGCGGAGGTGGTGCGATACACGCTGCCCGTCCCGTCGGTCGGGCGCGGAGTCATCGAGAAGCCTCGAGGCGACGGCACCTACGTCCCTGCTGATGGCGTGCTCCAGGCGGGGGGGCGGAAGTGCGTGTCAAAACGCAAGCGCGACCACGAGGTCGAGGACGCCGGTCCGACCGTGGAGCTGCGCGTGCGGCAGGACCAGAGCCTGCACGACTCCTGCGGCGGCATCGTGTGGGAGTCCGCGTTCTGCCTCGCGGGATACCTTCGACGACGCGCGCGCGAGGGGCGCGCGATCGCGCGCGGGAAGAGGTTCGCGCGATGCGACGTCGTCGAGCTCGGCGCGGGCTGCGGGCTCCTCGGGATGGTCGCGTCCGCGCTCGGGGCGAAGAACGTCATCGTCACCGACCACCCGGACGCGATGCCGCTGCTGAGGAAGAACGTCGACGCGAACGAGGGCGCGCTTCGCGAAGCCGCGGAGGCGCACGAGAGAACGCGCGTCGCTCTGAAGGCGAAGAAAGGCGACGGACGCGTGCGCGGCGTCGGCGCCTTGCCGCTGGACTGGACCTCGGACGAGCACCTCTCCGACGTCGTGGAGTTAGGGCCGTACGACGTCGTCCTCGCCACGGACGTCGTCTTCAACGAATCTTTAGTCGCGCCGCTCGTGCGGTGCATTCGGCGATGTCTGCGACGAAGAGACGGCGTCGCGTTCGTGTGTCTTCAAGAGCGGTGCCCGGACGCGTTTCGCGCGTTTCGGAAGACGTGCGAGGAACATTTCGAGGTGAGGGAGATCCCCGGAGACGACGTCGGGTTCGTGGACGAGGAGTGCGTCCTGTTCGAGCTCAGATTTCGCCCGTGGGACGGTAAAGACGCGGAGGCCTAGCTAGCTGTGATGAGACGGGTGATGACTTCTCGTCACACCGGGGGGTCCGCGAAACTAGTCATCAACGAAGGCGAAGATACCCCGCGGATGACACGAGAGTTGACCGGCGTGCGTAGTGTGTTGTGTATTAAACGAGCCGCCGTCCGGTGTGCGCTAGAGCGGCTCGCGCGCGATGCGATGCGGGGTGGGTAAAAAATGAATGATCGGCGGCCGGCGACGGTCGGCGTCTCCTCGAGCCCGCGGCGTCCTCCGCCAGCCGCCTCGCCTTCTTCCGAGCGTCTGTCCGTGTGATTAGTCTGAGGGCCGTTCCATACGAGCGAACGTCGGGGTGGAGTTGAAAGGCGTCAGGTGGAGTTGAAAGGCGTCGATGGCGGGGATTGAAAGCGAGGTGTGGGCGTCGAGAGGCGCCGGGAAAAGTCCTTCAGGAATGGCGTTCACCACGCCGACGCGGTCGTACGGGGACCAGTGTGAGGAGAACGCGCCTAAGACAACTTGGACGCGAAGTACGCCATGAGGACGACGAGAAGCGGCAGCAACACCGCGATGATGCTGACGCCGCCGCCCCCACTCTTCGTCGCCGCCTTCCCCGAGGCCGCGCCGCCGGCGAACTCGTCGAGGTAGAACTTCTTCAGGAGCTCGCGCGCGTGCGGCGAGTGCCCGACGTCTTCGAAATCTTGCGTGCCATCTTTCCCCGCCGCGGACAGCATGATCTCTCCGCCGCCCGGGTGGTCGTCCATGAACGGCGTCACGTCGTACACCTTGCCTGCGATGGCGTCGTCGCCGTTGTCGCGAAGGTGGGCAGGAGGAGGAGAGCGTCAGCGGGAGCGATTCTGCGGGAGAACCGCATCGCGCGGAGGACGACGCGCGACGGGAGAGATCGATCGAACCGCGACACGTCACGCTTAAGGAAGGGGGAGGACGCGCGATCGGTCGACCGCGCGGCGCACCGTCGATGACGAGCCACAGGTCGTCCGCGCTCGAGTGCTTCTCGACCTCGGACATCTTGATCCCCTTCACTTCCACGGGCGCGGTCTCATCCTCGGCGGCGGCCTTCGGGGGCATCGTGGCGTCGGTGCGCGGCCGGTGCGCGCGCGCGTCGAAGTCGCCCGGGCGCTCGCGCGTCGAAGCGCTCACAGCCACCGATTTCGCGCGATTCGAACGTACGGAACGTGGTTCGAAACGGGTAAACGACCGATACAGTCGTATGATGCACAGTAAGAAACAGGTAGAATTTGTCCGCAGCTCGCCGGCAGCGGCAGCTTCGCTGGTTTTAAAGCACCTGCGACGCGAACGCGGCGTAGTTCGTCCGCGCGCGGGGACGAGCGTCGCGCGCGCCGCGACGCGAAGGGACGCGGCGGAGGGCGCGGGCGGGCGAAGACAGACGCGTGGAAGTCGCCGCCGCCGCCTTCGCCGCCCTCCGCGGCCATGAGCAGCCCGCCGCCGCCGCCGTCGCCGCCGCCGTCGCCGAGCGGCACCATCGTGTGCGAGAACGTCAGCGAGTGCCTCTACTTCGACGTGAGCGACACGTCGATCCTGATATCGCTCAGCGTCTTCACCGTGCTCGCCGCGCTCTTGCTGCTGCTGTTCGGGAAGATCCGCACGGTCGCGCCGATATTCTTCGGGCGAAGACGGCTCCGCAACCTGGTGAGATCCCGTCCAGTCGTCGTCCGCGCGCCGACTTGACTTTTTTTTTTCGAAAAGATGAACTTTTTGCGCCGGATCTCGCACCGCGCTCGACGCCCTCCTCCGCTCTCCCCCGCCGCCGACCGCCCCTCCCGCCCTCCCGCCTCCCCCGCCGCCGACCGCCCCTCCCGCCCTCCCGCCTCCCCCGCCGCAGACGCACCGCCCGCCGCCGCTGCCGTACCCCACGGGAACGCTGAAAGACGCGGTGTTCGGATGGATGTTCCACGTCCTCAAGGTTCCGGACAAGGAGCTCGTCGCGACCGCGGGCATCGACGCGCTCGCGTTCATTCGCGTCTCGCAGTTTGGCATCCAGCTGTTCCTCCCCGTGACGATCGTGGCGGTCTTCGTGCTCATTCCCGTGCACACGACCGGGAAAGAACTCGACAGGCAGCGCGCGTACTGGATCGCCACGCACACGGCCGACGACGCCGTGCCGTCGGGGATGGGTGCGTCGGCGGCGGCGCGGACCGCTCGGACTCGGACTCGACGTCGCCATATCGCTTTCTTCGCTCTTTTTCCGCTTCGTTCTCGTCGTTCTCATCGATCCATCCATCGATCCATTCCTCCTCCTCCTCCTCCTCCTCCGCCCTCCGCGCAGACTCGAAATTGATGCGCGCGACGGTCGCGAACATCGGCCAAGAATCCAGCGTCCTATGGCTCCACGTCGTCGTCCTGTGGGGCATCATGCTGTACGCCACGTGGCTCCTCCGGCGACACACGCGAACGTTCGCGTTGCTTCGACAGCTGTACTTGTCCACGTCGGGAGACACCAACTTGTGGCGCGCCGTCCACATGCCGAAGTCGATCCTGCAGCAGATGCTGACGCAGGGGCGCGAGGTGAACGCGGAGATCGACGTGAACAAGATGCGCGACGCCGTCGCGAAGAGTCCGGGACCCGGGAAGGACGACGACGACATCGGCGACGGCGACGGCGACGGCGACGTCGACGACGGCGGCGGCGGCGCGCGGCGGCGGCTCAGCGGCGAGGGAGGAGAAGACCCGGGGTCGCCGAGCGCGGAGCACGGTAAGAAGAAGAAGCAGTGGGGCGGCGCGAACACGCTCGCGGCGATGGCGTTGTTATCGACGCCCGTCCTCGCGCAGAAGAAGACCGGGGACGTCGCGAAGGATGGTAGCCACCAACAGGGAAGCGTCGGCGTCCGACGCAGCATGCTCGCGTCGGCGTCGAAGAAGCGTTTGAAAAAATCCAAGAGGGCGGACGCCGCGAAGAGCGCGAAGGAGACCGACCCCGCGGGGAGCGACGACGGCGGCGCGTCGCCGCCCGACTCGCCGACGACGTCGCCGCCGCCGGCGCCGCGCGAAGACGGCGTCGGGGAGGGTCCCGACGGGGGATCGACGAGCGCGGCGGGGTCGCCGACGGCGCGCGCGGCGGCGGCGTTTGGCGCGTCGCCGTCCGCGTTCGATGACGCCAGCGTTCGAAGCGGGTCGACGCGCGCGGGATCGCACGCGCCGCGGCCGGTCGGAGGTTTCGGCGGCGGTCGCCGACGCCGCGGCTTGAAAGAACTCAAGCGGAACATCAAGGCGCTGAAGGAGCAGCAGGCGGCGAAAGCCGCGGTCGTCGCCGCCGCGGAGGAGGCGGGAGAGGCGAACCCGTTCGACGCGCCCCCCGCGCTCACGCGCCAAGGGTCCCTCGCGCGGCAATGTTCGTCGCTGTCTGCGGCGGACGCGAACGACCTCGACGCGATCGCGATCGCCGCCGCGCAGAGGGCGGTGGATAAGACGCGAAGGGAGGAGGCCGCGGCGGAGCGCATCGCGGCCGAAGAGCGCGAGAGAGAGCTCGCGGAGCGCGCGGCGAGAGAGCCCCCGGCGTTGCTCTCGCAGACGGGACGGCAGGCGCGGGTGCCGGCGGGGCTGAGAGGGGGGCTGAAAGCCGCGAAAGAGAAGGTGGCGAGGGAGCGCGCCGAGCGCGAGCGAGCCGCCGCGGCGGCGGCGGCGAGCTCGGACGACGTCGCGATCGACGTCGCGCCCGGGCCGGTGACCGAGTCGTACGCCGGCGCCGGCGGGCGATCGGAGGGGGGCGACGGCGAAAATTTTCTCCAGCGCCTGCGAAGCGAGCGCGAGTCCGCGGCGGCGGCGCGGACGACGCAGAACGCGTCCGCGTCCGCGTCCGCGTCCTCGCCGAACCGGAACCGGAACCTCTCCGTCGACGTCCGGTCCGTGCCCTCGTCCGCCGCCGCGACGCCGAGGGACTCGGCGCGCGGCGGCGGCGGCGGCGCCCGACGTCTCTCCGCGACGGCCGGCGGACGATACGGCTTCAGCGACGACGCGTTCGACGAGCGCGCGCGCGCGCCGCACCGAGACGCCTCCGCCGGAGGCGGGGGCGGCGGGGGTAGAGACGCCGCCGACAACGGGCGAGGACGACGGAAGACCGCCGCGGCGACGATCGGGGACGTGTTCGCGACGTTAGGGCTCGGCGGGATCGCGTCGAACGAGGCGTCGAAGATGGCGGCGACGAATCGATTGGAGGTGGGCGACGCGGAGCGACGACGACGCGAACGCGAACGCGAGCAACGCGAACGCGGCGGGAGCGGCGACGCGAGCGGTCACGACGCGAGCGGTCACGGCGGCGACGCGGCCAACCCGCCGAACGATGGAAGGAAGCTCCTGCGACGCACCGAGCTCGGGTCGTTCCGGCACGAGCGAGGCGGGTCCAACGTCTCGGCGCCGACGCCGACGAAGCTGACCGGCGATTTGCACGCGGCGGACATGGCCGGCCTCGCGCGCGGACACGGCGGCGACCGCGACCGCGGCGGCGACCGCGGCGGCGACCGCGGCGGCGGCGCTGCCATCCCCCCGGCGTCCGCGCTCGCGGCGCACGACCGCTTGATCTTAGACCACATCGTCGAAGCGCGGCGGCGGCACGCGCGTCACAAGCGCCAGAAGAGCGGCGGCGGGGGCTCCGGCGACGCGTTCGACGCTTTCGACGCGACGACGCCCGCGGCGCACGCGTCGAACCGCAGCGGCTTCGCCGGTCTCGACGGCGCGACCCCTCGCGGCGACGCGAACGGCGGCGCCGCCGCCGGCGGCGGCGACGACGACCCGAACGCTATGATCCTCCAGTTCGACGACTCGGACGACGACCCTGACGCCCCCGACGTCGCGATCAAGCACGAGTGGTGGACCGGGCTGAACATCGACCCGGACGAGGACGAGCTCGCGGAGTTCGAGGCGTGGTGCGTAATTTTCACGGCGTTCGCCCGACCGCTTCCCATACGCTCCCGTTCGCGTGGTGAACGCCGATCCTTAAGGACTTTTCCCGGCGATTCTCTCCGCCCGCCCCTCGCTTTCAATCCCCGCCCGCGTTGCCTTTCAACTCCATCTGACGCCTTTGAACTCCACCCCGACGTCGCTTTCAACAGGGCGTTGGACGACGTCGACGAGGACTACGACTACGGGCACGAGCACGACGACGACTCGTTCCACGGTAATAAGAGACGAACCAGCGACGACCACCACCACCACGACGCGATGGAGCCCCCGGACGCGATGGACGCGATGGAGAGGGGCGGCGCGACGTCGCGGAAGGGTGGCGGCGGGAAGGGCGGCGGCGGTTTCAGTTTCGGCGACGGCGGAATCGAAAAGACCAAATCGCAGCAGAAGGGCGCCGCGCGCGCGGCGCGGTTCATCCAGATGCCGTGCCCGGACGTCGACGGGCGAAGAACGGTGAACACGTACGACCCGGAGGCGCACAGGATCGTGTCCGTGTGGGCGGCGAACTACGTCGTGTTGATGACGGACCTGGTGCCGACGCGGTACGTGGAGGACGACGGGCGAATCGTCGAGCACTTTCCCACGGACGCCGTGGAGGACATGTTCGAGTCGCTCTTCCCGGATGACTTCCGCGGGATCATCCCGGTCTTCGACCACCGCCCGACGGACCGTCTGCTGGACAAACGCGACGAGCTGTATAACACCGTGGTGAAGCTTCGAAGGAAAGAGGCGGGCAAATACCAGACGCGGTACACGAAGCGAGATTGGCGCGTGTTGACCGTCGTGGACGCCGCCGTCGACGATTTGAAAAAATGCGAACGCGAGATCGTGATCGCGCGCGAGGCTGCGCTGTCCGGCGAGCCCGGACCGTCGTGCTTCTGCGTGTTCGCGACGCAAAAGGCTGCCGCGGAGGCGGCGCAGTGCCTTCTTCACTCCGGCTCGCGCCGCAACTTCCGGTGCCGCCCCGCGCCCGGCCCCGATAACGTCAACTGGCAGACGTTGATGACGCGGTCCAAGCACAGCAAACGCCGCGTGTTCGTCATCATGCCGTTCGTGTTCTTGCTGATCATCTTCCCGTCGAGCATCTTCACCGTGGGGCTCGCGTCCGCGTGCGTCGTGGACCCGCCCGTTGGGATGGAGGGCTTCCTGGAGTGGTACTGCAGCAGCGAAGCGAAGCCGTTCAACGTCCTCATCTCCGGCCTTCTCCCGCCGATTCTACTGACGCTCTGGGAGACGTTCGTCGTGTCCTTCTTCATGCTGTACCTGGTGCAAGCGCAGAACAAGCACGCGAGCTTATCCGCGACGGATCGCCGCTTCCTGGGGTACTACTTCTGCTGGGTCTTAGTCAACGTCCTCGTCGGCGGCATCACCGGCGGCGCGTTGGGCGGGTTCTTCGAGGAAGCCTTGGGGATCACGTCGACGACGTACACGACGCAGCAGCAGTTCGGGATGTTGCTTCCGATCACCTCAAACTTCTTCCTCGTCTTCGTCGTCTTCCGAGCGATATACACGCCGATCCAGCGACTCATACTCCCTCACCCGGGGATCATATGCTGGGCCGTGCGCAAATATCTGTGCTTCTTAGGCTGCGCGGTGACGCCCCGCGACCGGACCGTCAAGTACTCCCCTCGCGGCGTTCGAATGGGCCGAGAGGTTGGCGTGTTCATGATGATCATCATGCTCGGCTTCACCTTCGCGGTGAGCGCGCCCATACTCGCCCCGGTGTGCCTCTTATTCTTCATCGCCAACTTCATCGTGTGGCGGTACCACGTCATGTACGTCTACGAGCGCGGGTACGAGAGCAGCGGCTCGATGTGGTTCACGGTGACGGAGATGGTGTCGTGGAGCATCTTCGTCGCGCAGGCGTTCACCTCGTGCGTCATGTTCAGCAAACAAGCGTGGTTCCCAGGGTTGCTGCTGTACGCCACGGTGCCGTATTATCTGTACCGGTATAACCTGTCGCTGAGGAAAGAGTTCGGGAACGGGAGCGGCTGGAGCGTGCCGTTGGGCGAGGCGGCGAAGGCGCCCCCCGCGGATTTCACCGCGGAGATTTACACGCACCCGTCGCTGCGGCCGGCGGCGGCGGGGTGGAACCCGGACGTCGGGAAGATCTGGCGCGGGTACCCGGGCGTTGTCAAGAAGAACACGCTGTGACGCGACGCGACGCGACGAAGGAAGGCGCGCGATGTGGGAGGGAGGGAGAGGGAGAGGGAGAGAAGCGTCTCGCTCGGGTGAATATTAGACTTTTCTGCTACTGTCGAGCAGCTGAGACGACGACAGGACGGGTCATCAAACCGAGGAAATGCCAATCCGCCCTTCCAAAACGGGGAATCCGCGCGCTGCCGTCCACAACCGACGACGCCCCCGGCGCGGTGCACGCGAGGAATCGCGTCGTCGTCGTCGTCGCGAGGGCGTAAGGCGCGCGTCGTCGTCGTCGTCGTCTGAGCGTCTGAGCGTCTGAGCGTCTGAGCGTCCGGCGCGTCCGTCGTCGTCGCGGCGCGCGCGCGGTCGTCGTCGCCATGGCTTCTTCGACCGCGCCGCTCGCGACGCGACGCGTCTTCGTCGGCGACGGCGACTCCAGGCTCGGCGTCGCCCTCGGCCGGGCGTTCCGCGACGCCGGCTGCGACGTGAGCTGCTCGAGGACGTCGGAGGACGACCTCGACTACGCGACGGAGTCGTTCCTCGTCGACCACGGCCACGCGGTGCGCGTCGAGCGATCGACCGTTCGATCGGATCGATCCTCCCGTTTAGCAGAGCAAACCTTCGACGCCGAACGCTGCGCGCCCCTCGTCGGATCCCGCCCCGCTCGGCGTCCTCATCAATCGCGACCATCCCCGCTTACGCCCCCCCCACCCTTCCTCCTCCTCCTCCTCCTCCTCCTCCTCCTCTCCAGGCGCACGACGACGCCGCGATGAAGGCGCTGACGCGCGCGGACGTCGTGATCCTCCCGCTTCCGAACGCGTCCCCAATCCGAGGCGCGTTCTATCTCACACTGGTCCCCATACGACCGCGTCGGCGTGGTGAACGCCGATCCTTAAGGACTTTCCCCGGCGCATCTCTACGCCCACACCTCGCTTTCAATCCCGACACACCTCGACGAAGGCCTTTCAACTCCACCTGACGCCTTTCAACTCCACCCCGACATCGATGCAGTTCGCGCCGCGATGGCGGCGCTGCGCGAATCCATCCCAACGGACGCCACCCCGACGGACTTCCCCACCAGAGTCGTCATCGCGGTCTCGTCCATCGCGACGTGGGCGAACGCGAAGCCGCTCGACGGTCCCGGCGGAGCCCTGACGACGAGGGACGTCGCGCGAAGAGGGCTCGCGTTCGGCGCGGCGAAGGCGACGGCGGACGCCGAACGCGTCGTCGTCCGCGCCGCCGTCCCGGGCCTCCTCGAGACGCACGTCGTGTGCCCGGGCGCGCTGTACGGCGGCGGCGAGTTCGAGCACGGGTTCCTCGCGTCCATGCGCGCGGCGTGGGAGGGGAAGCCCGTGTGCGTGTACGGCGACGGCGATAACGTGATTCCGTGCTGCCACGTGAAGAATCTCGCGACGTTTTGCGCGAAGCTCGCGGCGAAGGCGTCGGCGGTGGAAGAAGATGGAACGTCAATTGTCGTCGCGGGGGAAGAAGAGAAAGATAACGAGCGCGACATCGACCGGTACCTCCTCCTCACGGACGAGGCGCCGCACCCGACGCAGCGGTTCATCGCGGAGAGCATCGCGCGCGCGTTCGACGCGCCGCTCGTGAGGGTCCCCGTCGCGGCGGCGGCGGCGACGGCGTCGTCGCGCGTCGTCGGCGACGCCCCATCATCCGGCGGCGGCGCGGAGGGCGTCGCGATGCTGAACGTGAACGTGGTGCCGTCGGACGTGACGCGCGTCGTGGGCGCGGGGGGGCGGGAGTGGAGGGCGCACGTCGGCGGGTTCGGGCCCGCGGTTGAGCCGGAGGCGCCGGAGGAGGAGGCGGAGGTCGCGGAGGAGAAAGACTCAGACGCGGCGGAAGATGGAACGTCAACCGTCGCCGCGGCCGATGACGCCGCGGAGGGCGAAGACGCCGCCGCCGCCGCCGCCGCGACGCCCGAGGATCCGAAGGAGGAGGAGGAGGAGGAGGACAAGTGGGAGCTCGTCCCCGAGCTCGTCGGAGGCATGCCCGCCGTCGCCGAGGAATTTTTGCAAGGCAACGGCCTCGCGCCGATCCGCGCGGTCGTCCGCGGGCCGCCGCTGTCGTTCGCGGAGGATCTCGCGCTGACGACCGCGGAGACGTACGCGCTCCCGCTGATCACCCCCGCGTCGCTTCTGTTGGAGCACATGCCGTCGTTGGACGAGGAGACGCGCGCCAAGTGCGGCGAGGAGGCGCTGAAGGAAGCGCTCGCGGCGGCGGCGGCGGCGGCGTCTTCGCCCTCCGCGGCGTCATCGGCCGCGG